GGTCCAAAGAACTTTTGCAGATTTACGAACCACGCTTTGTGGAACTTTTCCATTCAGACGTTTTCACTATTGAGACAACATGATGCACAACTGTAGTTTATCGAGAAATATACGATATATTATGTAAATGTTCGAACTTATTTTTATAGAATTTAAGATTCGTCTCACTGTATGTGCACACACATGTGCATCTCATAAAAAAAGACATTTTATTAAAGTCAAACCTACATTTGGTCTTCTAAAATGGAATGAATATACTGAATAAAGAATGAATCCCGCGATTTAATTTTTGGAGCGCTTTCCACGTAGAAAAGGAGTGAAAAGAATGGGTGTGACGTCGATCCTATGAGGGAAAAAACGGCGAGAGATTGTTGAACAGAGACGTCCTTTGGAATGTCGTGCGATCCCACCGAGCTTTCACTAGTAAGAAGACTTTTGGACGGCATTCAATATCTATAGATTTATTACTATGAAACATAATGGTGCCGTTATATATACATATATATTGCCGGTCACGATGCTTTTATATTGTTATATAATTATGATAATTAGGATTATTATGCAAAGTTATATCAATCAAATAAAAAAAACTTTAAGATGTGCATTGCGTTCACATTTATGCCACATCAATAATGTATAAAAAAAAAATAGATTTTAAATTGTATAAATGACATAATTTATCAAAGAAGCCAAAATTTTAGATTATTTATGCTCAAGAATACTTGAAAATAAAAGTTTCAAAAAAATATTGCTGTAATTTATGATGCAAAATTACATTAAAAAAAAATATTTTTATCTATTCTTTACATTATCTGATCGCATCGAAATAATCATTATTTTATTTAAACCAATTTATACTAAATTATACTAATTATACTAATTTAACTTTATTATACTTTATTATATTATACTTTATTATACTAATTAACTATTATACTAATTTTATTATACTAATTTATACTTAATGTTGTATCTCAACAATTCTGGCTTGGCAATATTTTATGTTAATTTCTGATTGTTTGATGTCTTCATTAAACATCTTATTGTAGCTTAAATGCAAGAGTTACCTGCGATCTTATTCCAGGAATTGCTGTAAAATTTATCGGTGGCTTTGCAATGGAGGCTACGCCCTTGGTATTGTTTTGCCGTTATCTTTAAATTGGTTTAGATTATTGCCACGTGCTTGGCAACCAGGTGAAGGCGGTCGCTTACCATTGCGAATGGTAATAATGGTGGTGATCACGTAAAACAGTCGTCGCTAAACGATAAGCGGCTGGTTAAATAACAGTTAAAGCGGCTGGATAATGCAGGCAATTAGCCGCGATAATGACAAAGATATGAGCAAAGCAACGTATTTTATTTGCTGAATCATGCGAACATGTGTCCAATTATACTCGCTCGCAATAATGATCGGCATTGCTTTCGTTCTATAATGAATAATAATTCAACTGCTGTATAGTAAAACGTTACACTTTGTATCCGATTCCAAATATATTTGGAAAATGTATTTGTTTAGAATTGTATGATTTGCCGCAATAATAAATGGTTATGTACCTCACTTTATCTTTTATTTAATCGACTATTATATCATTGAGATTCGCATTTATTTGATATATAATAAAAACATTTTATCATAAAACCAATTTTGCACGATTTCAGATGTCGCAGTTTTTCCTCTATAGATCATAAATCGTCTGAAAGGCGACGTTTCGCGTCACAAAGATCAAATTTAAAATTGATAACTGTTTGATAATGGCTTTGAACGACGCGATATGTATGTGAGAAGCAGATTACGTGGATGATAGGAAAATGGGCGCGATCGTAACGAGAATAGATGGAAAACCAATGGTCGACCTCTTGAGATCGATAGGATGAAAATGAAATAATTGTGTCCATGGAAATAGTAAAATTATGAAAAATAACTATATAGTGAAATGTGTCGTTCTATAAGTTAATCTACTATTTTATTAATTTGTTTTCTAAAAAATTTACTTCATCTAGTATCTGTTATATTTAATAATGACAATTTATAAAATTTTTGAAAAATGTACAAATAACCATACATATAGCATATAATATAAGAAATTGTTAAATATAATTTATAAACGCATTTAAGAGTAATTATGCGCTCTGATGTTTCCGGTTACCCAATTATAATAATTTAATGGACTGATTAATTTCTGCCAGCTTTTACTGGGATATTATTCTGGGATATTATTCTGCATGTCAATGCATTATGTCGTATTATGGGAAATTTCCACGTACTAACGAAATCCAGTCGGATTTATAATTCATACATTGCACAGATACAATACATATAATTTTAATATACGTAGAAACGTGTTAACTTATAAATCTTCAAATTAGTACTTTGTCATTAATTTTTTGTATAAATTATATTAAATTTATTAAATAAAAATTTATCAACTTTAATTAATTTTTATAAAATTAATTAAAATTGATTAAAATTTTTAATTAAATTTCTACTTTTAAAGTTCATGTACAATGAATCATTTTCCAGAGGTAAATTCAATGTAAAATAAATCCGTAACTATTGACATATTGATGTCCAAATGGCTACCATTCTTTTCAATTTAGTCTCAATTTTCTAGACAGATAAAGAACGGCCATTAGAACGTTTGATATGTGTTTTGTGTGCCGTTGTAGAAAAAAAGAACTTGTTTTTCAAGTAAAAAGAAAAAAATTGTATTCTAGAGTATACGGAGAGTTAAATATTCTCTTTTATGTCTGTGACAACTGTTGTAACTATAAACTAATAAAATATGCACTTGTATAATATTGCAAAATGTTTGAAGCTTTTTTGCATTGTTCTGAGTGTTATAAACATTTTACAATATTTCGACATTTGAGAAATTTTTTTATAGCTGATAGATATGATCGCAAATTTCGTACAAATTGTACGAAGAAGCTATAACTTGACGAGATTCAGTGTCATGGGACCATTAATCTTCGTCTGGCGCCATCCTTTGCCGTCAGATTAGGATCCTTCTTAGATTCTCTCTACATCTCTCGCAATGACGTAACGAAAAGGCAAACGCTAAAAGAGTCTCTTGACGAATATAAGCTCTTCGAAAGATAGTTGATTTAATATTAAAGTTAATATTACCACCGAGATTAAGTCTTGAATATTCAACGCTAATTAATACATGAAATTTTACATATCTTGACATTATGATAATAAAATTGAACGAATAATTAATTATGTCCTAAAAAATCTGATAATGTATGCATTTGTCTTTGAAATTTATTACGTTCTTTTATGATTAATGAAGTGAATTAATGAATATTAATTCACTTCGTTATGAATTATGATAAAATCATGCAAAAAAAATTATTTGTACGTCGGTATGAAAAATATGACAAATGAAGATTAAATTAAAATATCATAATTAAATTACTGTAATACTCTAAAATAATTAAGAGTATATCATTCCGCATCAAAAATTTTGTTTGTTAATTATATTTAATTTTTTTCTTCTTCTCATTTTATTTTCAAGAATCTACGATACTTTCGAGCAAATAATCAATGTGGTTTTTTATGTCATTATTTACGTATAGCGACAGATAGAACAATTTTTTTGGCGAGTGTAAACAAATAAATTCGAATTTGGGCATTCGTTTGATGCTGCGTTTGTTATCGAGTTTATCGACATGCAGGCATGAAGTTAAAGATGTAATGAAACATTATCGGTGATGCCAATCGCGCTACAGAAAAACTCACGAATACCTCGAGTTGCGATCTTCTTTCGTGACTGCGATATATTGTTATCTCATGAAAGGTTTCAGACATGCAATCGCGCATGCAGCTTATCTTAAAGAATTTTAATAAAAATTCTTAAATTTTTAAACATTCACGCTTTTTGTTAAAAATAGAATACACATACATTTCATAGTTCTGAAATAATATGTGCAATTGGAATTATACATATTTATCAAGTACTAATATTTTTGAATCATAAGTGTATTCAAAATAAAATGAATCAGAGATTCATTCGGAGAAATATCAAAGTATATACAAATTTTATCCCTTCCATTATTGTCCACCAGAATTTCCGGCGATAACCAGCAACGAGATATTATTTTCAAGCGTTCCATCCTGTGCATTGTTGACGGCAGCAATGCTGAGTGCATTAGAGCAAAGTGCATCAGGTCCGTTGCGTTATGCCATTATGAGGATTACCAGCGGGAAACGCCTCTCCTGTTTTTCTCCGTACCCGCGTAAAATTGTCTGGTTAAATGTATTTCATTGTTACCCCCGCGTGGTTTGTTGTCTCTGTGAACGTGTGTGCACCGAGAAAAATACGTCGATATATACTACAGAATTGCTCGTTAGCTTTATGTGCTCTGTTGTAAGCGAGATCAAAAAATCACGAATATGTAACATCCACGTGAATGTTTTACCAATCCGCAATATTTATATATCTATAGGATGTTTTGAAACGTTGGCGAAAAACGGTCACGTTTAAATTGAATGACGAGTAATATTTCATTATTTATTGCTACTTCTAAAGCATGATTATCAATGAATGATTATCGTTATTTTTCATTTTATTTTGCATGACACGAAATACTTACTTAATCAAAAGTGAATTATTTATATATATATATATATATATAATAGAAATAATATAAGAGTTCTAAAGTTAGTTGAATTATTTAGAGATATTTCTAAATAATTTCAATTTTATCAATAATATTATTAATAATATCAAATAATGTATTTAATATTATAGAAATATTTAAAAGAAATGAGACAATTTTATTAAAGTTATTTTATTAAAGTATAGACCGTTTCATCTCAATACTTACTTGCTAAAAGCGAATAACAATACATAAATATTTTTTCGATAAAGAAACAATGAAAACGAATAAATAGGTCAATTAAACTTCTCATCTTAAATTAATAATTTTATAGCTAGGAAAAATTATTGACGTCACATCGTTTAGCTGTCATTTGCATGTTTCGCAAGTCCGACGTTTTCTACGTAACTGTCTTTGTTTCTCACGTCATCATTAATGCTAAGATGTTCGGTAATAATGCTGCAAATGCAATCTGATATTGAACAAATTCTAGTATTCATGTTGATATTCTATAATGCAACATCATTTAACATAAGTTTGGTTTACAGTTTTTACACATTGATTGGGCAATTTGCTACATATAACATATTAAATGCTTAACTATTGTACATCGTATTTAGTCATCAGTATCAATATTTATTATTTATGATTTAATAACTTTAAGACATAAATGTTTTCCATACATGCCAAAGAAATATTATATTATAATATATAAAATAACACTGGTTATAAAAAGTTATAGTACAATAAAATGAATGCTGTTAGAATTACATAGTTTATGCATATCTGATTGCATTTCTGATTAAATCGACGAATTTTTTTTTAATAAAAACAATTTTATTATTTACAATATTATTATATACCATTTTTTACATTTGTGCAATATTAAGTACTTTGATAATTAAATAAAGTATATGTAATCTTTTGTACGTAAAATAATATTAAACTATCTCTTTGTGATTCGCAATCTTTATTAAAATAACATGCATTTCCCATTATTGAATGATAATTAACTTCATAATGATATGATGAAACTCTGCATGTATGTGTTGCTACAAATATGTAATATTTCTCATTATTTTCAATTTAGGATTTAAGAGAGAAATGTCTCTTTACGCGCGGTGAACTGTGCGCTGAGCTGCATGCTTATAGAATCACAAAACGCGAGAGAGAGAGAGAGAGAGAGAGAGAGAGAGAGAGA